CCTCGCCAGCTGGGCCTGAAATACTTTCTTGACTCAACCAATAGATTATAAATTCCTTGACATCCAAATCTAAATCTCATCCATATTTCCCATTCATTAGTAGTTGCTCACTACTTGCTACTTTTTCTCACTTTATCTAGAGCAGTGGTTCTCAACCTTCCTAATGCCGCCACCCTTTAATACAGTTCTTCATGTGGTGGTGACCCCCAACCATAACATTATTTTCGTTGCTACTTCATAACTGTAATTTTGCTACTGTTATGAATCATAATGTAAATATCTGATATGCAGGATGTATTTTCATTATTACAGATTGAACATAAAGCATAGTGATTAATCACAAAAACAGTATGCAATTATATATGTGTTTTCCGATGGTCTTAGGCGACCCTTGTGAAAGGGTTGAGAACCGCTGACCTAGAGCATTTCCCAATGTGTGTTGTATAGGTAGCAGTCATTCCTTTTGCTGGGCACTGTTTCTAATTCACTGTTTTGTGTGTGTTTTTAAATATTTTTTATTAATTTCAGAGAGGAAGAGCCGGAGAGACAGAAACATCTATGAGAATCATTGATTGGCTGCCTCCTGCACCCCCCTACTAGGGATCCAGCCGGCAAACCGGCATGTGCCCTTGACCGTAATCAACCCCCGACCCTTCAGTCCGCAGGCCAACGCTCTATCCACTGAGCCAAACCGGCTAGGGCTCTAATTCATTGTTTTATTCATTAACTAATGCTGCAATGTGCTATCTTATGCATCAATATTTTCCCAGATATGTGGTTACCTGCTTATAGTTTACTGATTAAAATTCTGTAAAAGAAAAAAAGGAAAGCAATATAGACAAGGAAAATGAATATATAGACAAACTATATGGTTAGAAAAGTAGTTAAGTAAATATCCATAAACGTTAATAGTTACCCCTCAATCGTGAGATTATTGATAATTTTCACGTTTTACTCATTATCAGAAAAAATCTACTTTAAAAAAACAATCATTCTCAGTCAGTGAAAAATAATCTAGTATTTCTTTGCATGCAGCAGTATTTTCCTCATTATTTTTGCTGTCTGTCCTCGCAAAGGACCAGCGGGCGCCCTAATTGGGGCAGAAAGCGCGGGAACGTGTCCTCCGCTCCCGGCCTGGGCCTCGGCTCCTAAGGATCAGTGGTCCCCTCAAAGGAGTGACTGGGCGAACCGAACCACGGGCGGGCGGCCGACACCTCCCGGGGGGACCGGGAGCCCCGCTTCCGGGTTCACAAAACCCCAAACCTAAGACTCCTGGCGTTTTTTATTAAGTGGGGCGGGCTTCCTCCCGGAGGCCCGGCAGCTGGGCCGCCCCCGCGGGACGATGCGGACGCAGCTGGGCCTG